TGGGACTACAGGCACGCACCGCCATGCCCGGCTAATTTTTTTGGTGTTTTTTAGTAGAGATGAGGTTTCACCATGTTGGTCAGGGTTCTCTCAATCTCTTGACCTCATGATCCGTCCACCTTGGCCTCCCAAAATGCTGGGATTAGAGGTGTGAGCCACCACGCCCAGCCAGAAACCTTGGTCTTTACAACCCCTTATCATAACCCAGACATTTCTTTCTATTGATTCCAGGTCTTTAAATAATAACTCTTTAAACCAATTGCCAATCAGAAAATCTTTGAATTTCTAAAATGTATGATGTGGAAGACAACTACCCCCAAACCCCACGCCCAGTTGTCCCAATGTCAGCTTCTAACTAACATTGTCAATGTGAGATTTAACATATCTCAGTTTTAAAAGTTAAACAGGTCGCAGACCTATGGCGGCAATGGACAATTGTGCTTATTTTATAGAAGGATATATGTCCTGAAAGATTTAGGGGTCAGCAAAGAGTTTCCTGGTTAGCAATTTATAAGGTCAGCCCTCTGGAGAAGCCTGAAGCCTTTTGTCTGTGGACACGTGGTTTGACACAAGGTTGCAAAGTAACAGTTACCTGTTTGTGGGAAAAAGGATAACAATGTTGCATGACTCAGTTCCCAGGCTCAACTCTCCCCTTGGCATGAGTTTGGGCCTCCTGAGACTTTTATTTTCCTTTACAAGTCATTGTTATCCTTTTTCTCTTTTTTTGAGGTGGAGTCTCACTCTGTTGCCCAGGATAGAGTGCAGTGGTATGATCTCGGCTTACTGCAACCTCTGTCTCCTGGGTTCAAGCAATTTCCAGCTAATTTTTGTATTTTTAGTAGAGAAGGGATTTCACCATGTTGGCCAGGAAGGTCTCTAATTCCTGATCACAAGTGATCTGCCTGCCTTGGCCTCCCAAAGTGTTAGGATTACAGGCATGAGCCACCGTGCCCAGCCCATTCTTATTCTAACAGTGGTCATGAAATGTGGTCCTCGGACCAGCAGCATCTGCAGTAAAGACAGTAAAGCGTCCCAGTAAAGACAGTGGGCCTTAACGAGCACACTGCTTTCCCTTTTTTTTGGCACACTAACATAGGGAAGCTGGAAGCTTGTATAGGGTTGGGAGTAGGGGAAGTCTGCAGTTGCAAGGAGGTACCTGGGACCAGGCACAGAAACTCCCTCTCCCCTTTTTTGCACATGCATGATGGAAGGAGATAAGCAGTGGGGAGTAGCCCAAGCTAAGAGCCCACCTGCATGATTAGGAAGTGGGGTGGGGGTTGCCAGAGACTCTGCTCTATGCAGATGGCACACATGGTTCTAATTGGTTTTCATGCCCTACGTAGATAAGATACCCCCTCCCCGCTAGCTCATTTATAAAAACCCTCACATTTTACTGCAGCACACTTACATTTTACCGCAACATAGCAACCCGTTTGGGATCCTCTCTGTGACAGAGAGCTGTTCTTTTCCTTTCACCTGTTAAACTTCTGCTCTAACCTCATCCTTTGTGTGTCTGTGTCCTTGATTTTCATGGCTATGAAACAAAGAACCTCAGGTGATGTCCCAGACAATGCAGCGGCTTCAATACCATGTTCTCCTTTTTTTGTTGAGCTATATTTAGTCTAGTATTGGAAAGTGACACACCAATTTTGGTGTGCCTTGCTTAAGCACAACAATTAATTGATCAATGATCTCCAACTATTTTCCACAAGAAAGCAAAAAATCATCACATGGTGATGTCAGAGGTCTTAGGATTTTCCTAAGGATTTCCTTAGGTTCTCTGTGAGGGCTCTGCCCCTACAGTAGGCTTCTGCCTGGACACTCATGTTTTGAGACAGGGTCTCACTTTGTTGCCCAAGCTGGAGTGCAGTGGCATGATCATGGTTCACTGTGGCCTCAAACTCCCAGGTTCAGGCAATCTTCCCATCTCTCCTCCTCAGTGGCTGGGACTACAGGTATGTGCTACCCTGCCTGGCTAATTTTTGTATTGTTTGTAGAGATGGGGTTTTGCCATGTTGACCAGGCTGGTCTTGAACTCCTAGGCTCAAGTGATCCACCTACCTTGGCTTCCCAAAGTACTAGGATTACAGGTGTGAGCCACCATGCCTAGCCACCCAGGCATTTTCATATATTCTCTGAAATCCAGGCAGAGGCTGCCAAGCCTCAACTCTTGCACTCTGTGCACCTACAGGCTTAACATCATGTAGAAGCCACCAACACTTATGGCCTGCACCCTCTGGAGCTGTGGCCTGAGCTTTACCTGGGCCCCTTTGAGTCCTGGCTAGAGCTTGAGTAGGTGGGATGTGGGAAGCAGTGTCCGAGGCTGCACAGGGATCTCACCCCATTCTTTCTTCCTAAGCCTCTGTGCCTGTAATGGGACGGGCTGCCTCAAATGCCTCTGAAATGTCCTCAAGGACTTTCGCCCACTGTCTTGCATATTAGCACTTAGTTCCCTTTAGGTTATGCAAATATCTCTAGCAAATGGTTACTCCACAGCTCACCGGAATCCCTCTCCTGAAAAAGCCTTTTCTTTCTCTACCACATGGGCAGGTTAACGATTTTCCAAACATTTACGCTCTGCTTCCTGCTTAAATAAAAATTCTAAATTTGAGTTATTTCTTTGCTCCCACATTTGAATGTAGGCTGTTAGGAGTAGCCAGGCCACATCGTTTTTTTTTTTTTTTTTTTTGAGAAGAAGTTTCACTCTTGTTACCCAGGCTGGAGTGCAATGGCGCGATCTCGGCTCACCGCAACCTCCGCCTCCTGGGTTCAGGCAATTCTCCTGCCTCA